CCAATTTGGACATATATAACAGCTGTGCGAGCTTGTGTCCGTGCCTAGAAACCAGCCAAGCAGAGACTCCTGAGTCTGGTGGGGAGAATAGACAGGGGCTGGGTGCCCATGACTGTGAAAACACTGAGGCTGCATGGGGAGGACTCGGCGTGGCTGGGATATTGGGCAGTTACTGTGGGAAGCTCCACACCATCAGGGCTCCCTGTGCTGGGGAATATGAGCTTATACTGAGGACTGCACAGATCCTTTGTGTGGTCCTTGTGGCAGGACGAATAATATACTCACTGGGCCAGGTGCTTAGGCACTGGTCTCCTTTGAGGAAAGGAGCTCAGGTGAGTCTACACCAACAAACAAGAAGAAATCTCCTTTCTGATTAAAAAAAAGATTTAAATGCCAAACACCCTGCAGCATTAAATAGAGCTCTCTGGCCACTTCCACCAGACACCTCTATATATTCCCTGAAAGTAGACACTCCACTAATCCAATCAGACATAGTCAAAAGATAAAAGCCACCATAGCACAAAAATCAAACCAATGAGTATCCCCAAAAATGCCGAATAATAAATACACCAATCCAAGAAACAAGAATAAGGAAGACAACATGACACCCCCAAAAGAACAAAACATCTCTAGATTGTGAAGATGATGTGAAGGAAGAAATGCAAGAAATGGAATTCAAAATATTGATCATAGAATTACTTAGAAGTAATCAGAAGCAAATGTATGAACTAATGAAATCCATACATGACATGAAAGAAAACTTTTCCCATGAAATTGAGATCCTAAAGAGAAATCAAAATGAAATTTTGGAAATGAAGAATTCAATAGAACAAACAAAAATATAGTGGAGAGCTTTAACAACAGAATTGAAGCAGAAGAAAGAATATCTGACTTAGAAGACAAACCACAGGAAATTATGCAGACCTAACACAAGAAGAAGAAATTAGAAAACTAAAAAACACTGTTGGGAATCTATGGGATACTATTAAATGACTCAACATACAGGTTCTAGGAGTTCCTGAAGGCATGGAAAGACAAAGGATTAGAAGGTCTTTTCAGTGAAATAACAAAATTTTCCCAATTTGGAGAAAGAAAGGTGAATCCAAGTACAGGAAGTACACAGAATTCCTAATACACATGACCAGAAAAGATCCTTATCACAACACATTGTAATCAGATTCTCCACAGTAAAACAAAGAAAAGATTCTAAAATGTGCATGAGAGAAATGCCAGATTACTTTCAGAGGATCTCCAATTAGACTTATAGCAGACATCTCATCAGAAACCCTACAGGCTAGGAGAGAATGGCGACATTTTGTCCAAGACTTAAGAAGAAAAAAACTGTCAACCCAGAATACTATACCCTGCAAAGATCTCATTTATGAATGAAGGTGAAATAAAGACCTTCCATGACAAAAAGAAACTAAAATAATTTGTCACTACCCATCTAGCCCTGCAGAAGATGCATATGGATGTGCTGCACACAGAAACACAAAACATGCTCATCAATACAGAAGAAGGTAAAGGAAGGAAAACTCTCAGGATAAATACAAAGGAAATCCAAAGTAAAAAAATAGGAATTTTTAGGGAAAATGGCAGGGCAAAATCATTACTTATCAATAGTCACCTTGAATATAAATGGCCTCAACTCTCCAATTAAAAGACACAGACTGGCTGAATGGATTAAATAAAACCTATCTATTTGCTGCCTACAAGAAACACATCTTACCAACAAAGATGCATGTAGACTGAAAGTGAAAGGATGGAATAGGATATTCCATGCTAACAGAAACCAAAAAGGAGCTGGTGTAGCCATCCTAATATCAGACAAAATAGACTTTAATACAAAAACTGTTAAAAGATACAAAGAAGGACACTATGTAATGATTAAGGTATCAATTCAACAGGCAGATGCAACTATTATAAATTTATGTACCTAATTATGGGGCACATGGCTATTTAAAAGAAATGTTAAGGGATCTAAAAGGAGACACAGGCTCAAATACAATAGTATTGAGGAACTTCACTACCCTACTTTTCAGCAATGGACAGATCAACCAGACAGAAAATCAGCAAGGAGACAGAGTAAATTGACATTATTGACCATTGGGACCTAACAGTTATCTACAGATTTGTTTCCTCCTACAGTTGCAGAATACACATTCTTCCCACCTATGCATGGAACCTTCTCTAGGATTGATCACCTGCTAGGTAAGTCTCAGCAAATTCAAAAAAATTTATATCATACCACGCATCTTCTGAGACCACAATGGAGTGAAGCTGGAAATCAGCAACTCAGGAATCTCTAGAACATATGCAAAACATGGAGACTGAACACTATACTCCTGAATGAACAGTGGGTTATAGAAGAAATGAAAAAAGATATAAAAAAATTTCTGGAAACAAATGAAGATGACAATACAGCATATAAAAATTTATGGAATACAGTAAAAGCAGTATTACAGGAAAGTTTATGGCAATCGGTGCCTACATCAAGAAATTGGAAAGGCACCAAATAAATGAACTAACCATGCACCTCAAGATCTAGAAGAACAGCAGCAAACTAAACCCAAGACTAGACCTAAATCTATGACCTGATACCATAAAATGATTAGAGAACATTGGGGAAACCCTGCAAGACATTGGCACAGGCAAAAAGTTCTTGGAAAAGACCCCAGAGGCACAGGCAGTAAAAGTCAAAATCAATAGATGGGATTACATCAAATCGAGAAGCTTCTGTACTGCAAAAGAAACACTCAGGAAAGAGAAAACTGACAGAATGGGAGAAATTATTTGCAAATAATGCAACTGATAAAGGATTAATAACCAGAATCTATAAAGAGATCAAGAAACTCCATAACAACAAAACAAAGAACCCATTAAAAAATGGGCCAAGGACTTAAACAGATGTTTTTCAAGAGGAAATCCAAATGGCGAATAGACTCATGAAAAAATGCTTAAGATCACTAGCCATCAGGGAAATGCAAATCAAAACAATGATGTCTCACCTCACCCCAACTAGAATGGCTTTCATACAGAAATCAAAAAATGCTGGTGAGGATGTGGGGAAAAATATACCCTAACCCACTGTTGGTGGGAATGTAAACTGGTAAAACCACTAAGGGAATCAGTCTGGAGATACCTCAGAAATCTGAATATAGGCCTACCATGTGACCCAGCTATCCCACTCCTGGGAATTTACTGAAGGGAAATGAAATCAGCAAATAAAAGAGTTATCTGCACCTCCATGTTTATTGCAGCTCAATTCATAATAGCTAAGACATGGAATCAACCTAAACGCTTGCCAACCTAAGACTGGATAAAGAAATTATGAGATATGTACTCTATGGAATACTACACAGCGTTTAAAAAAGTGCAAGTTATGACCAGTCATTTGCAACAAAATGAATGAACCTGGAAAACATTATACTGAGTGAAATAAGCCAGTCCCAAAGGGACAAACAGCACATGCTCTCTCTGATCTGTGATAATAGAGCACCTTAAACAAAATCTGTTGCAGTGAAATTGACACTTTGAGAAGCAATGACTTGAACAGCACTTGACTTCAACTTGACTGTTTAATTTTTTTTTCCCCTTAATGGAGAATGAGACTAGGAATGGGAGAGGGAGGAGGAGTGGCAGTGGGAGGAGGAGGGCAGGTATGATGGGAAGAATCACTATATTCCTAAAGTTGTACTTACGTCATTAAATAAATGGTTTCTTTGCAAAAAAAAAAAAAATTGCTGTCTCTTACCTGCCTGTGTTATAGATTTATCAATTTTCTCTTTTGACTTCCATTTACCTATGTGATCTTTCCCTCTTCTTCATAATAGCTCATTTAGGAACACTTTAGCCATACCACTTTTTAAATCTTGCATTATACTTGATACATCAATTTTATTTTCATATTGTTACAGTTTCTAAAACCCATTTTTGTTAAGTTTAATCCTTTACTCAAAATACATTAAGAAGTTAGTAACTGTTGTAAGAATGATATATTACTAGAATTTCCATGAATCAAATTTTCAAGACAAAGAACAGATACCTAACAGTTAAGTTTCAAGATAAAAGAAAATGTATTTTTAAAGATAATGAAGCAGTTCACAAGGATCGCAGTGATCCACCAAGTTCAGTTTGCACATTGTAATTTATGATAGAATTTAAGACATTACTCGTTTTGAAGTTACACTTGAAAAGTCAGTGATTTAGGTATAATAGTTAAGTCATAACTTGTACTTCAGTATATAATCACAATGATCATTAAGACAGCCCAGGTAACAGTAATATTCTTTTGCATCTTTTTTTAAAATATTTATTCAAAAGGCAGAGTGACAGAGATTTTCTATCCACTGGTTCATTCCTCAAAGCCCCCAACAGCCAGGGCTGGGTTAGGCCAAAGTCAGGAGCCAGGAATTCCATTTGGGTCTCCCACATGGGTGCCAGGGGCCCCAGTACATGGGCATCATTCACTGCTTTCCCAGGCTCATTAACAGAAAGCTGGATCAGCAGTGAAGCAGCAAGGACTTGAAACAGCACTCTGGTATAGGATGCCAGCACCACAAGCAGTGACTTAACCCACTGTGCCACAGCACTGGTCCTTCTTCCTCTTTATCCTAGTATAATCAATTATACAGAACACCCCACAATATCTGTTCATTTAATATTCATTTGGATAAAGAAGAAAATGACTTACCTTTCTAATTAAGAGTTTATTTAGAAGGTACTATTGTCCCCTGACACTGAATATCAGAGGTCAAGATTCAGGGAACTGAAACTACAGTACTCCAAGAAACATAAAAACCTTACACCATGGCAGAACTTGATGAGCACCTAAGTGCCCTACTTTCAACATTTTCCTTTTATAATTTTCAAGTAAGACAACCTACAGTTCATTCAATAACTCAAATCATTTGGAAAAAAAAAAAACCTCAGGTGGTTATTATTATATTTCAAATATACAAATGGATGAACCAGAGTCAATGTTTATGAAATCTTTTTACCTTCTGGATCATAGGTTTGAAATACTCTCCTAGCTTGTTCTGAAGGAGCCTCAGGGGCAACTAAAGCCATATCCTGAAAAAAATAAAGAGCATACTGTCAACCAGGTACAAAATGACAACGTTAAAAATAAGCAAAACAAACACTAGTGTGAGGTGCAGATATGATGACATTTTGGAGTCAGAAGACTTGGAGGCACATTTATATCACAGGTGTACGACGAGGAAAGTCACAAACTTTCTGGGCCTTAATACTGAATTTGAAAAATGGCAATAATGCTTCAACCATAGAAAAGTACTGTAAAAATTACACGTGAAGCTTTATATAAACAATTTAAAGTCTAATTTCATACAAGCAATTATTATGAAAATGCAATTTGTAACAAGCTCTATGTATATGTTTCATGTTACCATCTAATTAAGAAAAAATGTAACTTAAAATATGCTCTAGTTTTCAAATATTTAGAAATAAAAATCCAGATAATTATTATAACAAAGAATAACAGAATTACATAACAATGCATTTGAAAAATATTACTTTGGTAGGCATTTTATAGCATTTCATGGGAATATTCAATGATCAATCATTTTTGAATATTTTCCTTAAATAAATACCTTGTGGAAGAATTACTTCTTTGTCCCCAAAAAACAAATTTTCTATAGTAAGTATTACTATTTATAAAATGTTAAGCACAAAAATTTTGTTATTTTGATTCTTCACAAAGCTTTACTCCACATATTTAATCCACTATGGAATTCTATCTAACCAACATGAATTCAGGAGTTAGGCTTCTGTTATTTACTTGTGGTCACAGCTCTGGTCTAGAGTAGGCCATTCTCTTTAATTATGTTCACTCCAACAAAACTCATCAGAGAGCAAGCTTCCAATTATTTCTTTCTACCTAGCATCTTAAATCATTTTTTTTTGACAGGCAGAGTGGACAATGAGAGAGAGAGACAGAGAGAAAGGTCTTCCTTTTCCGTTGGTTCACCTCCCCCCACCCCCGCCAATGGCCGCTGCGGCCAGCACGCTGTGGCTGGCGCACTGCGCTGATCTGAAGCCAGGAGCCAGGTGCTTCTCCTGGTCTCCCATGCGGATGCAGGGCCCAAGCACTTGGGCCATCCTCCACTGCACTCCTGGGCCACAGCAGAGAGCTGGATTGGAAGAAGAGCAACTGGGACTAGAACCTGGGGTGCTGGCACTGCAGGTGGAGGATTAGCCTATTGAGCCACGGCACCGGCCCTCGAATCATTCTTAAGAAGCTGTGGAAGTATACATTTAAATAAAATTTAAAATGCTGTTAGCCTACGGGTAAAGGTTTTGTAAGAAATTACTTTCTAACTTTAGACTTACCTAATCATCCTTCACAGATGAAGGAACACACTACTTAATTTTTGTTAAAATGTAAAATAAAAGACCATCATTAGTAATTTCAGTATTGTATAATTATTTCCCATTTAACTATCCCTTGGAATGATGTCCCTTTCAATGTAATTTTGCTGCTAATATACATGTCAAGTGAACCGTATTCCTCTGGCCTAACTTTAATGTTTTTCTGATTTTAAGATCCAGTCCTTGGTTACTGGATAACTGGATTGTGTCTAGTCTTGCCAGGGGGGGTTCAATAATTCATGGAAAACTCCCATTATTTTTTAGCTCCATTATCCTACAACTACTTGAAGCCCCTTCATGTGAACAGTGTTAAACCAAATAAACCTGAACATGCATTTTGTAGGACAGGTCATCTGAGAGGGATTGCTGGGTCAAAGGACAAATGCGATTGTAATTTTGATGGATACTGTTAGATTCTTGGGTTATGTGATGCTATTTACCTATTTCGAACAATATATCCCAAAACACCCTGTTTTCTAATGTTACCAACACAGCCTTTGCTCCATAATTAACCTTGTGCCAAAGCTAGGATTGTCAACTTGGCTCTCAGATTTAGGGAGCAACTAACACTAGGGTTATTCCTTAGCTGTTTTAGTTGCAAAAGCTTTTACTCTGGAAGGCTAGTGTTGTGGAACAGTGGGTTAAGATGCCATATTGGCACCCATAACAGAGTGCTAGTACCAAGTCCCAGATGTGTTTCCAATCTTGCCTGGCAAGGCAGTAGAGAATGGCCCTAGTACTTGGACCCCTGCCATCCTTCGTGGGAGAGCAGGGAAGAATTCTGTCTCCTGACCCAGAACTGACTGTTGCGATCACTGCCTTTTAAGTAAATAAATCTTAATTTTTTGCCTTGTTATAGCATATATTTTAGCTCCCTCATCTATTTTCAACTCCACTTATTTCTTTTTCAATTCTATCCTTTAGGAATGGTGGCTGGAATTTGTGAATGAACACAAATTCTGACTGAGGAGAAGGTATAGAGCTATAGATCAAATCTTATGTAAAGGGGAACTTATATAGGCCGAAGAGGAGGATAGTCATTTTTTCAGTTCACCATCTGTTCCATTCAAACTTTTATTTTCACCAATAAATGCAGATGACAAGTGGAAAATGAGCTGTAAACCATTACCTAGAATTTCTAAATATTACTTAAAACTTCTATTTAGGCCGGCGCCGCGGCTCACTAGGCTAATCCTCCGCCTAGCGGCGCCGGCACACCGGGTTCTAGTCCCGGTCGGGGCGCCGGATTCTGTCCCGGTTGCCCCTCTTCCAGGCCAGCTCTCTGCTGTGGCCAGGGAGTGCAGTGGAGGATGGCCCAGGTGCTTGGGCCCTGCACCCCATGGGAGACCAGGAAAAGCACCTGGCTCCTGGCTCCTGCCATCGGATCAGCGCGGTGCGCCGGCCGCAGCGCGCCGGCCGCGGCGGCCATTGGAGGGTGAACCAACGGCAAAGGAAGACCTTTCTCTCTGTCTCTCTCTCTCACTGTCCACTCTGCCTGTCAAAAAAAAAAAAAAATAAAAAAAAAAAATAAAAAAAACTTCTATTTAAAGAAAGGGAAAGGGAATATCAAGTTTTGCTTAAAAACCAAAACAATGTATTGGGGGGAAAAGGGTGATGGAGAATACAAGGAAGCATTACTGTAATACTGCTACACAGTGACGTTTTGGGAAATTACTACTGTTTATCAGGTTGAGAGAAGCAAGGAAGATTCCAGAGTTTTCAGCCACCGAAGTTTTCACATCAAATCCTCTGGCATTAAAGGCATCAAAAAATGCAGGATCATAAAAGAGTTTAAAATAACTACCTGATGGTTTGCCTCTAAGTTTGCCTCTAAGTTGCACATTTACAAAGGAACCAAGATAAATCTTAATAAAAGAATTGTATGTCTTGCCTCTAGTTATGAATATGTAAAAAGGTCAGGTTTTGGAAAACGAGTTATTTTGTTTAAACCCATTATTTGTACTAGCTTGCTACAGAGACAATCTGAAGCTCGGGCAAAAGTCCTGGGATAATCTTGTTTAACAAATGTTCATTTACAGGGCCGACGCAGTGGTGTAGCGGGTAAAGCCGCTGCCTGAAGTTCCGGCATCCCATACGGGCGCCAGTTCGAGTCTCGGCTGCTCCACTTGTGATCTAGCTTTCTGCTGTGGCCTGGGAAAGCAGTAGATGGCCCAAGTCCTTGGGCTACTGGACCTGCGTGAGAAGACCCGAAAGAAGCTCCTGGCTTCGGACTGGTGCAGCTCTGGCCGTTGCGGCCAATTAGGGAGTAAACCAGTGGATGGAAGACCTCTCTCCCTCTGCCTCTCCTTCTGTGTTTAATAAATGAATAAATCTTTTTAAAAAAATGCTCATTTATTGCCAGGGTTGGTAAACTTTTTCTGTAATGTAAATACTTTCAGGTTTTGCAGGCCATTTAGTCTCAGCAACAAAACAGATGACCATGGCTGTTACAATGAAATGTCATTCATAAAACAAGTGATGGCCCTATTTGGCCTGAAGGTCATGGTTTGCTGACTCATGATTTAGGGATGATATTACACATTTTTCTCCATCTGCTCTAACATTTATTGAAACATGGCTTCTTTTTTGATATGTATCTGGTGGTACAAAGATGTATAAAAGCTAAGAAGGTAAGTAAAACACAAAAGATATTCTGGCTACCCCCCAAAAAGGTAGGAAATTCTAGCTGGAAGGAACAAAAATCAGGAAAGGCAAGTGAATTAGAGGGAAAACTAAGTTGTTAACTATCACTGGGAAGAACTGAGAGAAAAGGAGTAGTTCAAAAGGGAAATCAGCTTTCATAAATTTAATTTTGAACTTTTAAAATTTTCAGGTAATGGTCAAACATCTACATAGAACTCATGGAAATATCTTAATCCCCGGGACACTATGAAAAGTCACCAATTGCAATTATAAGCTTATAGGCCATTAGACACAGAATAAACGCACCAAAGAGGGCTGTAAAACCTAGCAGGTAAGATACTGAGAAAGATGAAAGCAGAATTCAAGTAAGAGTTCAAATAAGAATGGAATATCTTCAAAAAGGAATTTAGGCATTTTATTCAAGTTAAGAAATGTGAAATAAGTATCTCAAAATCTTCAATGTGAGGACCTAACAGTTAGCACTACCACCCCATATGTTAACTATCTAGAAACACTACCTGTTTTTCCTTGTTTATTTGAAAGGTAGAGTTAGAGAGACAGGGAGGGAGAGATCTTCCATCTGATGGTTCACTCCCTAAATGGACACAACAGCCAGGGCTGGCCAGGCTGAAGCAAGGAACTTCTGTGGCCCCCATGTGGAAGCAGGGCCCAAGCACTTGGTCCATCTTCTGCTGCTTTTCTAGGCACATTATTGGAGGGAGCTGAACGGGAAGTAGAGCAGCTAGGACATGAACTAGTGCCCTAAGGGATGCTAGCATCCAGGCATTGGCTTAACCATTTATGTCACAACGCCAGCCCCTCTGTTTTCCCTCTTAACATACAACCCAGCAGTACTGGTCAGGTTTGATATAATACAACCACGAATGTGTCATTATTATAAAGCAAATTGTGCTTTTGGTCTCAATGAAATACTAATAGGTAATTTGCTAAACTCCTTAGGAATTAGTTCTTCTTAATCATACCACTTAAGATGTTTTTACATGGTGGGTAATGAGGGGAGGAAAAGGAAGTAAAGAAGG